GGGGGAGGGATGAGGGGGGGATAACTTGCCCCACCCCCACCTTACTAGCAGAAGATCCTCCCAATTACTGTCACTGTTAGGCGATGGCTGCTCTCGGATGCATGTGCATGCATATACTGGTAATATTTATATGCATACTTCATTTATTCCCCAACAGAACCCTGCTATACAATCTTTCCTGCAAGTTGATAGATTGTGGACCTTTTTGATTCAGTAGAAATAGTTACAGCTATAGCTACAGCTTTCACATTCTATTTATGGTTCTATTATGTTTCTAAATTAAGTCCCACTGTTTTGTATAATCCCCCTTTTGGTGGGTATTTATGTTGTGACCCCTTTGCTCCTATAAGAACCAATTTATCTGTAGAAATCACTGTACTGAGTTGACAGAAAAGTCATGATGTATTTTTTCTATGCTGCCAACCTTGCCTCCTTCCACTCTCCTGACTTACAGGAAACTCCAAAGCCTACAGCTGTTGTCTCCAGGTCTTCTCTCAAGGTGGTTTTCACACCTTAATGTGCACTACAGTCAGCAGGAAGCCTTCTTTAAACAAAGAATGCTGGGCCTGACTCCCGGTTTCTGACTCAGTAGATCTAGGATGGGGCTAAGCATTTTCATTCTGACAAGTTCTCAGGTGATGCTGACACAGTTGGCGGAGACACGGTGCTCGATAGAGAACTGCTGTCTAAGGCCCTCGCTTTGGTACATCAGGGAAGTACACATCCTCTCTGTCTATGTGGAGACACAAGATGGAGAACTTGTCACCTTGTGTCCTAATCTAAGTCAACTCCCTGCTATTAAAACTCAACCTGTGAAAAGCTGTGACTCTCCTCTTGCAATGCTTCTACTCAGCTCCGGAAATGCTAGAAATGGACACCTGCCGCATGCTGGCCTTGACCTTCATGCCCTGGCAGGCAGCATGAGGCAGGGAACAGTGTGGTTGGTAGGGTTTCAGCCACCCTACCTTCTCTCAAGCCCTTGGGCAGCCACTGCCTGAGTACCAGGGCAAGTCACTCAGTTCCTGTGCCTCAGTTTCTCCAACTATATACATGGGGTGATGATGCCTACATACTAAGTGCCTGCTGAGAAGAGTGAACAGGGACCATGGGAACAGGAGTCCTGTGTTGACTGTAAAACACCCTACAAATACTAATTATTATTATAATTTCTGGCCAAATTTGCTACACAATAATTAGCTGACTTTTTTTCACTCAAGGTAATTTTTGTTTATTTTTAAGACATATCTTCTTTCTGTTGGGAGTGACCAAGTACAGAGGGACTGGATAAGGGCAGTAATAAATTAGGCCTTGCATCCAAGGGTGATAAGGCGGTAATGTAATAAACTGGGCTTTGCATCCAACTAAGGGGGCCTTGCATCTGGATGGGACTAGAAGAAGGTGATAACGAACTGGGCCTTACATCAAGGGACACAGCGATGAGTCACCCCTTTGGAATCTGAGTTTAGAATCTATATAAGAGACCCTTCCCTCCTATATGGCTGGTAGTAGCTGCGGACCCCATTCTACGGGCTCCTTTTCAGCTGCTGTCTCGGAGCAATAAACTCAGCTTGCTCAGCCTTTCTGCCTCCCACCTTCCTTTCTTGCGGCCGGTCACAGAAGTTGGGACAAAACACTCCCCAGTGACAGGCCTTTACCTTCGAGACCCAACATTATTGCTTCTGGCTCACCTCCTATGTTTGTATTCACACACTGAGGCCCACGCTGTTCACTGTCATCATTAGCCTCTAAAAAGAAAAATATTAGCATTCAAGATGCATGGCTTTCAACACTCATATTACTCCATCCAATGTCATGAGCTTTTCAGTCTCAATCGCCAAAAAGAAAATAAATAGAAACACCAATTAAGCAGTGTGTCCTTGGTCATAAATGAGCTGAATCTACAACTCCATGTCACCTCCTCTTCCCTCGCTCCTTGTCATCTGAACATTAGGTTCCAGCCTAGAATCTCTCCGATACTCAGGCTGAAGCTGAGAAAGAAAACAAGAGCCCTTATGAGGGGACAGGAGAGAGAGAGAATAGTGGAGATCTTGACAAAGATCCTTTTGTATTAGCTGTGTGATTTAAATCATCCTGGCATGATTCCTTTCCCCGTAAGTGATCAAATTCTGCCAATGTTAGAGGGTCAAAACCTGCCTGTGAGGTCAGAATGAGCCTGGATGCCATTTTTATTCTATCTTGGACACATCATTTAACTTTTTGTTTTAAAGCTTTATTTATGAATACAAGGCTGTGGTGCAGACCGGAGGAACGTGGTGGGGGAGGGGGGGTGATGGTTGTGAGAAGCATCACCAGAAACAGAGTGGGGAACACCACCAGGGAGGCCCCATCATTTAACTTTTCTAAGCCCTCATTTCTACATCTGTAAAATAGAAATACTACTATTCACAGAGTTGTTTGTTTTGCAGAAGGATATATGGTTCCTTGTTCACTGCCTAGCAGAGGGAGTAGTTAACAAATGATATTGGTGAAATTCTCTTCTCCCCTGGTTTTTTTTTCCCTGGGCCCCCATCTCTCAATCTTTCAGGGCAGCTGGCAAGAGTTAATTTTGGAATATTGACTAGTAAATTGGGCAAAAGGGCCTAAGCACACATGGCCTTGGTCCTTCTTTCTTTAATAAAGAGAGTTGGAGAGTAGCTTCGCGCTTCGCAGTCATAAAAATTGGATTTTCGGGGCCCTCCCTGGTGGTGCAGCAGATTAAATCGCAGCACTAAGAACTAAAGCCACTTCAGCATGAATTCGATCCCGGGCCTGGGGGTGACCCACATCGCACGGCAGACCTCTTCTGTCTCGCCCACTGCTCCCCTCAGCATGTACTTCGTCCATCAGCCTGTTCTACTCCCCACTCTGTCTCTGGTGAATCCTCTCACTGCCCCTGTACCTCTGACCTGTACCCCAGTTCTGTATGAATAAATAAATAAATCTTTGAAAAACAAATTGTGTTTTCCTCTGCTCTCTGCCCTGGGCTATGTCAAAGATCTTATTCTCCTGAACGAGTGGGTAACTCTAACTCAAGGACACTTTGGCAAGCCGTGTGACCATAGCTACTGACCATGTCACCATTCCAGTAAGAGAGGTGTAATTTTGATCTCATTCTCCAGAGTTCCCACATCTATAATCGTAATTGGTTCTGTACTCTGGGAAAGGGGGCGTTGGATGTTGTCTACTAGCTACCTACATGGCAGCAACAGTTATTACTGTCTCAACAGTGAATTAATTATGGCCTCATCTTCCTATATCCACAACCCCAAGAGTTGCTTCCTTCACTTACTGTACTTCTCTGCCATGACAGGCACCAGGCCGCACTTGCCAGCGGTATAGACGTAGCCACCGTCCAAGCTCATGGCATCAGCTTCTCCTTTCTGAAGAAAGAAATCAACAGCAACACAATTAAGTGTCCTGTCCCTGTGGCCATCAGAGGTTTCCATTCTGTTGGCTTCATGTCACATGTCCCCCAAAGCCATGGATTTCCTAAACTTTTACCACTAAACATATTTGTAACAATAAACTACCATAAAATTTATATGAATGTGGTTTCTGTCTCAAAATATCTTACCATATGTGATATTTGTCAAACTATTATTGACTGCAGGTAAGTGAAACAGGCAAAAGCAAACATGGATAAAGTGACTGCTGTGTACTCAGGACTGACAGTTAAATGGTAAAAATCTTCAATCCACATTATTTCTAACAGCAAAAGGCTTTAAAATAAACCAAATATAGACATTTAGAAGTTGTTTAAATAAGTTTGAGACAAACATATACTCATGTATCATTTTTAACAGCATTCTGGGCACTGACAGAACACATAAATAACAGTGGTGTCAACAGATTATACCATATTACCTAGGTGTGTCATAGGTTATACCAGTAATGGCACTTTATATCATTTACACAATGATGAAGTCACCTAACATGTTTCTCATACTCTAACTCCATCTTTAAGCAATCCAGGACTATACTTGGTGGAATATTATGTGGCAGTTAAAGACATTTCAAATAAGTATTTCACTGTCTAAGAAAGGGTGGAATCATGTTCAAGGATTTCAATGATAACAGCAACAGCTAATACTTATTGATCTCTTCTTATATGCCAGGCAATATTATGAGTATATTCATTTAATCCTTATAATCAAAATACTTAGGAGACTGTATAAATTCAAGATCTTAATCTCCTGGATGAATCTCAGGGAAGTTTACCAAAATCAGGATCTTCTTTCTTAAGAAAATTTGTGCATTCCTAAGTTTGCCAATTTTTCAGCTTTATATACATATATATGTAAAAATCACAAAGATTTTGTTTTCTTATAAAGTACTAAAAGTTAATAATAGCACAACCTGATAATTCAGAAATTATGAGATAATGATATGAAATTGTTAATGATTTTTTAATTTTCCATTATTATTCCAGCATGTAATATTTTTATCACCAGAAAAAATTTAAAGGACTTAGAGGTTGATTTGCTTTCCAAACCCACAGGGTCGCATATCTTGGGCTGTCACCCCACTGTTGCAGCCCCAAGGCCTGACACCCATCAGAGCTACACTGACTTCAGCGCTGAACCCATAAGGTGCTTGGGCCTTGAGCTGGCTCTGTGTTTCTGCCCAGCCTGACCTGGAAGGGTCCCAGCAGGGATGGGGGGAGTGGAGTGGGGATTTGGAGGGTGTGGAGAGCATACCACAGGTACATCTCAACCTCGTGGCTGACAGTAAGGTGTGTGGAGAACAGGCAGCAAGGCCGGGTGTCTGAGTGTGGGAGACCAGCGTGGAGGCGGGCCCTTCTTACCACGATAGCGGCGATGCAGTTCTCCGTGGTCTCCTGTGAGGCGCACTGTAAGATTCCACCGCTCACGGCGCTCCACTCATCACACTTGGCCCTCTCGTGCTGGCCCACTGCACACCACCGCACCCTCTGGGAGTCTTCCACAGCTAGACATTCAAAGTAAATCCTGAGATGGGCCTGAGGGCGTTAGTGCCACTGGCCACAGGATGGCTGCCCAATGCCTAACAGCAGCAGAATTGGGATGTCTGGCAGCCCCTTCCTCCTCATTCCTTCATTTTGTCCTCCAGAAGAAATGGGGACCTGGTTCCCAGAACTTGAAGACAGAGCAATACCTCTCCTTCTGACCTTGCCTTCCCAGGTATCTCCTCCTTAGCTCAGCTCTGACATTCTATTCTGGGTTCTGAACTCTTCCAGAACTGGGTTCTGCCAATTCTAGGGAGTGTTCCCCAGTTAGAAATCAATGTTTTCTATTCTTGCTCTACCCATCTTCTTAGTGTCCACATCTAACACAGTGGCTGGCCTTGAGTGACTGTTGGTTGACTAACTGGAGGGGAAATAAAGAGAGGGAAAGAAGAATGAAATGAGTCATAGGAACTTAGCAGAAGGCAGCAGCTGTAATAAAAACTGAAATTCTACCTCTGCTTTTGATGGTGGCAGAGGCCATACTCCCGCCTTGAGTTAGGATAGTCTCTTCCCTGTCAGGTGGACCTGTCAGTTGGGGCAGGGGGGTGGGGGTGGGGGCGACTCTGGATCATGGCTACTTCAACTTACCTGTTCTCTAAAGCTAATTTAGGCATTGCCCCCAGTTCATCAGATAATCCCCTCATTAACCCAGTGCAGCTAGCAGACCCCTGGACTCCAGAAACCAGTGAAGCATGGGTGAAGTAAGGCGTGCAGCATCGGGATGGTCCCCACACTGCACTGTGCTCCCAAAAGACCTGACTCACCTCCCCTTAAGTGCTGAATGGCAGCAAAACGCTCATTTCCCAGGTACAGCTTGGCATCCATAACAGGTGGGACTCTAAAAAACCCCCGGGTGGCGTCGGTAAACAGCAGGTCCTCCCCATGAGGAGTCTCAAAGAGCTGGAATTCTGTCGAATTATCTTTACCAAAATGTTCCTATGCAAATGATCAAAGAAATAGTGAAGGAAAGAGGCAGGCATAGCGAGGGGAAGGGAAAACAAACCCCCAAACAGACAAGGAAAACAGGGGAGGGGGAATATGAGCTCTCGAGATTGAAGACTGTGGCCACAGGGTGCTCGCAGAGTTCTCCAGTCCCTGTCCTCACTCAAAGGAATTTCTCATTCAAACCCCAGTGTGTTGGACATATTCAGCTTAAGGAAAACTGCCAGGGGTGGACCCCTCCATCTCCCAGACCTCTTATGAAGGAGTAGGAGGCACCATGACCTGGCAGCTGTGCTACTCCAGGGCCGTGTTACCCTGGGCAGGCAATAAAGGCTGCCTCGTGCCTGGTCTTCTCTGGCTCTATGGTCTTCACCCTGGAGTGCTGGTGACCCAGCTCCCTGCCATTGAGCTTGGACATGAAGAGCCCTGTGTTCCTAAGCAGTCCTTGGCCTGCCACAGAAGGGCGCCAAGCCGTCCTCTTCCATCACTGGCCTCTGAGAAACTCAAAGGCTTGGGCCCTCCCTAGTAGAACACACTGACAGTGTTGGGACAAGGTGAGGAATGAGACTGGGAGAGACACCATCCCTGCAGGGCAGAGAAAATACTCTGGCCAGGTAGGCACCTGCCACAGAAGGAAGAGCAGCTCCAATGCCAGTAGGGTAACAGGGACTCTGTGGAGAAAAGGCATCTGTGCTGTGTCCCAAGGACCCCATTAGAGCTGAAAAGAACAAAATGGGACTACAAAGAGCTTTTGCAGAGAGTATTTTGCCCAAGGGGGGCAATGATGCCGAGGGCTTTGTGGCTTCTGTTGCCCAACTCATATAGGCTGAGTGGCTTGTCAGTGGGGCTGATGGTATATGGTATGATTCCTGCTGGACCCTGACTACACACGGACCTCTGTGAATAGCAAGAAGGAAATGCAGGGAAAGCCCCAAAGCCAAGCAGGGACCCCTGAATATCAGGCCTGGTATCTTGAAAACAGGAAGGGAGCAGGGTGGACGGGGATACCTGGGCATAGTTGAGAAGCTCCCAAATCAAGTCCTGCTTGTCACCCAGGCTTCGGGACACAATGATATGGGAAGGGACCTGTGCCAGGAAGCATTCCTTGTAGTCTTCCACGGACTTCCGGGTGTTGTCCCTGCAAAGCAGCTCATACTGGTCCCTGTCAGCCTTGTCTTTCAGGTTCTCTGGGGGAGGAAAGTCCAGAGGAGCCAACTGAGAACAGAGCTGTGAGTGATGCTCCCTGTTCCTTACAGGTTTACAAACTGACTTTATTGACGTAACTTTCTGGGGCCAAGATGGAGCCACTTCTGCCTGGATGCCATTATCAGCAAACCAAAGCTTTAATAACTTTCGGGTTCTTGTAAATGCTTCACTTGACCAGAAATTCAGTCAACTCAGCTGGCCAGTCCCCAAATGCCAAGTCAGCTCTCAGCACTATAGTTATTTCCTTGTTTTTTCTCACCATAAACAAGGTTGACCTGAGCCAATTAGAGATTTACTGTTTTTCCCTTCCTGATCTTTATTCTTTATCCTACAGAAGCCTTACCATTTTGCTGTTCTCCAACAGAGATACCCTACTTAATGAAGTGTTAGTTTGTGTCCCTCTTTAATCATTTTATAGCTACCTAAAAAGAAATTAAAATCAATCTTTCCAAAGGTGAGGAATCTGTGGCCTCAGGAGATGAAATGAGTGGTTCTCCCAACAAATAGACCCATGGGCTGGGAGGTATGCTAGGCCAGAGCCCTCTGTCTCTGTGGCTCTGTTGGTAAGAATGATGACAACCTGGGCTCCCTGGTGGCACAAGGGGTTAAGTCTCAGCACTGTGAAGCTGTCTGCAGCCACTGGAGCACATGTTTGATTCCGGCCAGGGAGCTGACCTACATGGCCCAGCAGACTTCTCCTGACCCACCCACTGCTCCCCTCAGCAGTGTACTTCAGTAGATCTGCCTGTTCTGCTCTCCACTCTGTCTCTGGTGAATCCTCTCACCCCCCAACCCCTGAACCTCTGGTCTGTACCCCAGTTCTTGTATGCATAAAGAAATAAAATCTTTGGAAAAAAAATTTAATAAAAAGTGGAGTAAATAAAATAAAATTCTTCTTGAGAAAGCAGTTACTTTTTTTTTTTTAAAGATTTATTTATTTATTCATACAGAACTGGGGTACAGGCCAGAGATGCGGAGGGTGAGAGGATTCACCAGAGACAGAGTGGGGAGCAGAACAGGCAGATCGACGAAGTACACTGCTGAGGGGAGCAGCGGGCGGGCCAGGAGAGGTCTGCCACGCCATGTGGTCACCTCCGGGGCAGGCGGGAATCGAACTCATGCGGAAGCGGCTTTAGATTCTCAGTGCTGTGCTTTAACCCGCTGCGCCACCAGGGAGGGCCAGCAGTTACTTTTTAATGAACTTAGCACAGTGAATATATATTTGAGTTTTAGACATCTTGAGTAATACAGTGTGTTCTGCATTAATTAGAAATTTCATTGTTTACAAAACTCAGAATCTGCAATGTTAACTTACCAGAAATACTATTTTGTTTGTTTTTGGTAGATTGTCCAAAAATGCTAGAAAATGTTTTTTAACATAGAAAGAAACACACAAAGACACTATTGTCCATCATGTTAGTAATGTTTTTGCAACAGAATAAGTTAAGATGTGTTAATAAGTTCTGAATCATTAAAATAATTTGTGTTTACTTAAAGTATTTGACACATTTAGGTGCTGTTTATAATGCAGCATTCAAGAAAATGTGGTAAATTTGAAATTGATATTTCATTGACTAACTGAATTTAATTACTAAAACTTGTTTTCTTTTATTCATTGTTAAGTACCATTTAAATATTCAGAAATTTTTATAGATTGAAGTAATTGAGCACTAAGCAAAGTACTAATAACAGAAATGTGTTTTATAGAAAAATCTACTAATTCATGAAAATTCCCACCACCTCTAGATAAAAGGAAACTGGCTGGCGAGAACCAGCTACCTGGTCAGGATTATTCCTTCCTCCAGCACTTACCAAACACTGCCATGTGTCTCATGAAGCCCACGTCCCCACCATTCTGCAGACACCTGAGAAAGAGGACATAAATGTCAGGTCATGCTGTAGAACCAAGTGTGACCAGGGGTATGTGCCCTGTGAAGCTCTGTTGTGGCCACTAGTCACAGGGCTCTATGCACCATTTCTTGGCATCAGGCTGTTTCTTGGCATCCTGTCTGAGGGGCCTATGAACCCAACAGGAGCCAGAAGTCATACCCAGGCAACTCTGGGGAAGGCGGGTGCCAAAGAAAGTCCTTTACTTCCCTTTCCTCCTCTGTTGCCTAAAGCCACTGATTATTATTTTTTTTAATTGAAGGCATAAAATCTTTCATATGGAGTATAACAATTTGGCTTGCCTTGGATTTCCCAGAAAGCTACTCTCTGATTTTTCTTTTCCTTTTTTTTTTAACATCCAAAAGGGCAGGTTTATTATAAAAAGGGAGAGAAAAGTAAAGGACACCTGTACAGATACAAATGGGCAGAATGAATCCTCTCACTGCCCCTGTACCTCTGGTCTGTACCCCTTGGGGCAGGGCTGCCTCTGCTGCCTTGCAAAGGGGGAAGGTCAGTGAAGAGCAGCACCTTCATGGTCACGGGTAGGCAGGAGAGCTGCTGTGGGGAAGTTTGAGAATACCTGTGTCTCTTACAGAGTTTGGGATATGGAAAGCACCTGCAGGGGGCTGAGAGGAAGATGAGGAGACACAAGCTATGCAACTTCTGTCAACTGACAAATTCCAGATGGAAGGGAAAAGCTCTGAAAAATCAGAATTTCCATTGCTAACTTATGTTAAGACCTTCCTTTTTTGTATAATCATAATATCAAAATATTTTTAGCAACCATCAGCTTACAACTGGATTGTTTAGCCTCTTAAGGTGGCTGCCTGGCCCAGGCAAAAGGTGCTGGCTCAGGGCAAGAAATTCCTCTGTCTCCTGAGACAAAAGGCAAGCCCTAGGAGAGTTAAGACCCCCAGGGCATAAAGACCCCTGGGAAGCTTCCTCAGCCTTTTGAAACAAAAAGCAAACTTCAGGGCCCTCCCTGTGGTGCAGTGGGTTAAAGCGCAGCACTGAGAAGCTAAAGCCATTTCAGCATGAGTTCGATCCCCGCCTGACCTGGGGATGACCCACAAGGCATGACAGACCTCTCCTGACCTGCTGGCTGCTCCCCTTAATAGTGTACTTCGTCCATCAGCCTGTTCTGCTCTCCCCTCTGTCTCTGGTGAGTCCTCTCACTGCCCTTGCACCTCTGGTCTGTACCCCAGTTCTGTATGCATAAATAAATAAATCTTTTTTTTAAAAAAAGCAAATCTCAGATAAGACTCTCAGGGTATAAGGACTCATGGACAATTTCCTAACCTTGCTTACACAAGTTTTGCTTAATGCATGACTGTATAACTTCTTCTTCTTCTTCTTTTTTTTTTTAAAGATTTATTTATTTATTCATATAGAGCTGGGGTACAAGCCAGAGATGTGGAGGGTGAGAGGGTTCACCAGAAACAGACAGGGGAGCAGAACAGGCAGATCAACGAAGTACAATGCTGAGGGGAGCAGCGGGCAGATGGGGAGAGGTCTGCCTCGCCATGTGGTCACCTCCGGGGCAGGCGGGAATCAAACTCATGCGGAAGTGGCTTAAGCTTCTCAGTGCTGTGCTTTAACACACTGTGCCACCAGGGAGGGCCTGTATAACTTCTTAATTTACTCTTTTTAAATAATCCCTAACTACTATCTGCTAGCCTTAAATTAGCCATTAGCTTCTCTTTAGACAATCATGGATGACTCTGCTAACACAATTTATTCCTTCCCTAAGATACCTAACAATCCTTTGCTAACAGCTCATCCTTTCCCAGACCCCTTATCCTTTGAGTTATAGTTAAACATCCATGACAGTTACAAATGTGTATAATTTAGTATACCATAAAGTGTCAAGAAGAAGATGCATTGTTCCCCTCTCCCTTGAGAACGTTTATGGCAATTTATGGCGATTTCTCATTAACTTACCTTATGCATTATTGTAATTAACTACTTGCTACACTGTATAAATAAAGACCTGTTGAAAAGATGGACAGGTAGAATTGTACCAAACTCCGACGCCTGTGTCTTCCTTGCTCCAGTCCCCTGTTCCCCTTCTTGGAATCTCCACACACCGAAGCTGACACCACCTACAGATCCTGCCCTATAGCGTGTTGAGGTCAGTCCCCAACAGAGGCAGATCTGTGTCCCAGCACAGGAAGATTCTCAAGCAGGGAAAAGCTAGCCAAGTCAGGCCCTTCTGGCGCCTCGAGCCCATGTCCATGGACCCTGGAGTCCCAGAGATTGGTCTGTAATACCAGTCCTCTCTGGTTCAGGAATGTAACACAGGCAGTAGACCCAGGGTCTGTGTGGGGAGACAGCAGGGCTCCCCCACAGAAGATGGCTCCTCTGGATGGGTACAAGCTAGGTGGGGGCCATGGAGGGCACTGAGGACCCTGGCGTTCACACTGACACTCGAGGGAGACTGAGACAGGCTCTCTACTCCCTGTGTCTGGGTTTCCCCATCCCAGAGTGAGGACGAGAACAGGAGTTTCACTTACTTGAAGGCGCCTGAATAGCCAAAGTACGGCTCATTGGAGGAACAAGCACATTTGTCCATGCCTGTCCCCGCACACAGTTGACACAGGTTGGGAGACTTCTTCCTGTCCGCACAGGGGACACAGCTGCTAGAGAAGAACTTGGCCGCTGCTGCTCAACACAAGACACAGACCTCAGGGTGTGAGCTGGTGAGATACTTGTGGGCCACTGGATCGTGCATGTGTGTGTATCAATCCACACACCCTTCCAGGGAGGGGTCTGGGGAGGCAGGTGTGCATGGGTGGACCAGGTGTAGACTGTCAGAGGTGGCTGACAGCACCTATGTCCGAGTGTAGGATGCCCAGGAACCCAGGGGCTGAGGCATCACTCCTAGATCTGGCTGCTCCTTTTCAAGGGTTAAAAAGGCATCCTAGGCTCACCTTGCTGCATCATAACTGATCAAGATCCTGAAGTATACACAAAAAAACAGTTCTTGGCCCTCCCTGGTGGTGCAGCAGGTTAAAACACAGCACTAAAAGGCTAAAGCCACTTCTGCATGAGTTCGATTCCCGCCTGCCCCGGAGGTGACCACATGGCGTGGCAGACCTCTCCTGACCCGCCTGCTGCTCCCCTCAGCAGTGTAGTTTGTCAGTTAGCCTGTTCTGCTCCCCTCTCTGTCTCTAGTGAATCCTCTCACTGCCCCTGCACCACTAGCCTGTCCCCCAGTTCTGTATGCAAAAATAAATCTTTTTTTTTTTTTTTTAAATCAGTTCCTATGCCAGTTTGCCTTCCTCCCAAGCCATTTGCCCAAAGCCCTGAGGCCTGAATGTCAGTCTGTGGCCTAATCCATAGTTCAGCCCTCTTGGGCAGCCAGAAAGTCCTTTCTCAGTGCATCTCAAACACCTCCCTTGCCAAACCAAACTGCAGTGATTACCACAAAGGTACAGCTGTCAGGAGCTCAGAAACAGCAGCACCTTGTCTGAGACCCAGCTGCCAGTTCCTAAGGGCTCTGGCACAGCCAGTGCATGTTTAAAGCAAATTGTTCTCACTCTGACTTGAAGTTCAGGGAACATGTACACCTGATGGTGACTGCGTGGCCGCAATACAGCCTGTGTGGGCAGCTGTGCATGGGCACTCAGCCCAGGCAGACCTACCTTCTTGGCCAGGGTGAGAGGGAAACAGTATCTCATTGGGGATGGTCCACCCAGTGAACCATTCCAGGCTGGGGTGGCAAGACTTCTTGCCTCGGAGCTGGTTCAGCTGAAAGTTGCTGCCCTTCTTTACCACAGCTACAACGTAAGGATACATTTGTGGATCTGCAAAGGAACAGGGAGAAAGAAGGGCCAAAACCAGATGCTATGTTGTCATATTAATTTTCTGGAGTGTGCACAATGGGGAAATTTAAGAAAGCCTAGGATGTATCCTAGCCCTTAGTAAGCAGGCTGAAAAGGAAAGGCAAAGGTCCCTTGATTGACAGACGAGGGAAATTGCCCCTTTTCCAGGCAATAAACACTAGTTCCTTTCCTGTAGTCCCCACAAGTCAACAAGACACAGGGAAGGGGACCCCAGATTTAAGAGGGCCTCAGTGCTCAGTCACCCTGATGTTACAGTTTCTCCCTAAGGGTTGTGACTACTCTGCCGCAGCCCAGATGTGAAGGTGAATATGTGAATAGAGAGACACAGGGGCATCCCCAGGATTTTGCCAGGGGCAACGTGGAGTCAAATTGAGGCAGGTTGAACTCACATACACACACTGATGACACTCTTGGACTAGGAGGCAAAGCCCTTTTTTTGGACACCCCCTCCCTCCCAACTGCCAATACCTCTCCTCACCAGACACGGGCTCATGCCCTGTAGCAGTCCAGGGGAGTGAGTATGGGGAAGAGGCTGTCAGGGACTCTGCGTCTCAGAGATGGGTTTCCTTTGGTGCAACCCACTGGGTGAATGGTGGACAGCACATCCCCCTTCAAACCAGCAGCACCAAAAGCATGTCCATCAGGACACACAAAGTTTACAGCTGCCCAGTTATCCTAGGTCAGCAGAGGTGACAGTGTCCTTCAATACGAAGAGTTCCAACAACTTTGTTCCCTTCAAGTTAACTCCCACAGAGACCTTGCCACCTCCTGGGTTGCTGTGTCAGGCAGGGGGAACGCACCATCTTTTGAGCCATAGAGTTCTGTTACAACGGGTTTTATGTCGTAGGAGGCCATGCTCGCCCAAAACAACAAACCCACTTCAATGGTCACAGCATCTGCTTCATTTGCCTGAAAGGAAAGAGGCAGGATCAGGAATGAAGTCTTCACCACTAAAGAAGTCTTGTGTAGCTCTCTGCCAGGAACCTCTGTTTCAAAGACACTCGAATTCCCTCAGGCCTCTTTTTTTTTTTTTTTTTTTTAAGATTTATTTTATGGGCCCTCCCTGGTGGCACAGCAGATTAAAGTGCAGCACTAAGAAACTAAAGCCACTTTAGCATGAGTTTGATTCCTGCCAACCTCAGAGGTGATCCACGTGGTGCGGCAGACCTCTTCTGACCTGCCCACTGCTCCCCTCAGCAGTGTACTTCATCTATTTGTCTGTTCTGCTCCCCACTCTGTGTGTGGTGAATCCTCTCACCATCCCTGCACCTCTGACCTGTAACCCAGTTCTGTATGCATAAATAAATAAATCTTTTTTTTTTTTAAAGATTTATTTTATTTATTTATGAATACAAGAACTGGCAGGTAGGCCAGACATGCAGGGGGTAAGAGGATTCACCAGAGACAGAGTGAGGAGCCGAACAGGTGGATGTACTGAAATACATTGCTGAGGGGAGCAGCGAGTGAGACAGGAGAAGTCTGCTGTGCCATGTGGGTCAGCTCCCTGGCCAGGGATTGAACTCAGGCCAAGGTGGCTGGCAATAGCTTGATAGCACTGAGACTTAACCCTTCATCACCAGGGAGGTCCATTGGCCACATTCTTGAAACTACTACCTCACAAATGTGGGTACCGCTTCATTTTTCTCCTTAAGCCCTATCCCCATCTGACAGACTTTCACTTACTGTTTGCCCTCCCTTTGGAACACAAGTGCCACGAAGGTGGTAACATGGCATCATGAGCTTCATCCCACTGAATCCCAGCCCCTAGAAAAGCACCTACTACAGACACGTGTTCAAGAATATTTCTTGAATAAGTGAATGAATGAATTGCCAATAATTTCCATCCATAAGAATTCCTGTTTTGCATTTTTAGATCTAGATTCCTTCTTCATGGATCTTTCAGCCAAGGATTCCGTCAACCCTGAGAGAAGCGGCAACCACAGTCTCTTCTCGGAGGTGAGGCTGGATCATTTCCCTACCCATCATGGGAATGATCCTTTTTATTATTTATTAATTGGTATTTACAAGTACTTGGGTCTTTCTAAATTAAGTATGTTTCTATATACTTGCTTCCCTTTTCTGATCCCATGTTTTCTTATATTTATTTTACAACATCTACTCCTATTGCATGTGTATTGTATATCTACATCTATGTAGTATACGTATTTGTATGCATAAGTATAAAGTTAGTACTCTATTTGTTGCATGGATCATACTTCAACTCACACTGACTTGAGTAAAGGAGGGTTTTAGTACAAAGACAAAAGGACAAGTCTACTGGGAGCCCTCCCTGGTGGTGCAATGGGTTAAAGTGCAGCACTATGAAGCTATCTGCAGCATGCGTTTGATCCCCAGCCAGGGAGGTGACCCACATGGTGCAGCAGACCTCTCCCGTCTTGCCCACTGCTCCCCTCCGCAGTGAATTTCAGTCAATCTGCCTGTTCTGCTCCCCACTGTCTCTTGTGAATCCTCTCACACCCCACATCTTTGGTCTGTACCCCAGTTCTTGTATGCAGAAATAAATAAATCTTTAGAAAAAGAGAAGGCTACTGGGTCTTCTGAACAACACAAAGGACAAAAGCAAAAATACTTACACTGGTTTTGGACAGGAAGGAACCTGAGAGAGGGACAGAACTTAAAGAAAGAGCTTTGTTGTTCCTCCACAGGCTGGTAAACAAGAGTTGACCAAATCTGGTGGCTCTAAGCCCTGACACCAGCTGCCATAAATTTCCATGGCCCTTTGTGTTTATTACTGATTTGTCCCCAGCCTGTGTGTTCCTGAGCAATTGCTTTACAGTTTATCAAGTTGGTTGTTGCAGAAAAGAGTTACAGATCCTGAGACCAGGTGGGGACAAACTGGAGAGCGAGCACCCAGCCTCCATGAGAGATTCACCTATGAGATGTAGATGAGCCTTACAGACTACCAAGCTGCAGCTGACTGGTGCTCACAACTAGTAATGGACACACACAGGTGGACAAATAGACTTTAGCTAAGCCCATTCCTTTCCTTCTCAGTTAATAAAGTTTAATTTCTTTCCTCTCAAGCCCCATGCCTAAAACTGAACCTTTTGAGCGTCTCTCTCATGCTCAGTTCTCTTTTCTTCCTCACTTTCATTAATCAAAAAACACTGACGCCTTATCTGCCTTCACTGGGGTCTACAGAGTCCAGTTTCAATGTTGAACAGAGGGTCTCAAGCAGACTTTCCTGGGCTTGGGAGCAGGCCCTCTGGTCCATCCCATCTATTGTCTGTGGGTGGAGTGGTGACCAGCAGCTGGTTTGTTCCCAGGTTATCCAGCTGTTATTAGAGGGTGGGAACAAACTGATAGATCCCCAAATGTCTTCATTATCCAATGCTAGTTTCAGTCCATTCCTGTGGGCTCCAGCTCATGATTGTGATTCCAGCTTGTTCCTGCCCTTTCCCACTCTACATACCACATCTCTGCCTAACTACCGACTCCTCAAGCTCTCATATCAGAGACAAAAACTATATTCTGTGGAAGCCTGACCAGCTCCACAATTGCATGAGGTCAAAATCTTGTAAAAATCACCCCACCCCCATATATGAGTTAGAGAAAATGTGAAAGTTCAAATTTCTGTGGATCTTTTTGATCCTTGATAAATCTCTAACTGTTGTCTAGAAATAATCTCTCATTGTTTTTCTAGAAGCAATGAAGAAATTTACCATTTTTAAAAAGATTTATTTATTTATGCATACAAGATCTGGGGTACAGACAAGAGGTGCAGGGATGAAAGGCTTCACCAGAGACAGGGTGGGAAGCAGAACAGGTGGATCTACTGAAATACAATGGTGAGGAGAGCAGCGGGTAAGACAGGAGAGGTCTGCTGTGTCATGTGGATAGCTCCCTCACAGGAGATTGAACTCGTGCTGCAGTGGCTACCAATAGATTCACTGATAGAGACTTAACCCCTTGCACCACCAGGGAAGCCCATTATTGCTGTTTTTTTACTATTAATGAATGTTAAAATAATTTTCTCTATCCAGAGCCCCTGTACTTCCAGTCTTTAGCTCAAACATCATCTAATTCCAGTGGGAAGAAAGTTGTTCTGAAGCACTAAATAGTAACAAATGCGAAAGAATGAAAAAAAAAATACAAATTTTCTCTTACTCTTATTTAGGCAAAAATTACTTACCACAATAGCCTTTATGCACTCAAAGGAAGAAGTTCTCTTCACACAGGAAATAAGAGGACCATTAACAGGAAGGGCTTTCCTCATATTGGAGCATTTCTTGGCCTCGCGATTTGAGATGGTGCACCATCTCACAGTTTTCTCAGGGTCAGCCAGACACAGGCCTATGAGAAAAAGGCCACAGTGTAAAGAAAACACATCACTCATCTTTCTCCAGAGGCTGAAGAGATTAAAGATAAGGTCAAAAGTTGACAGAGTGGGGTAGATACAAATTGGATTAGCTGTATATTTCACACAAATGCTCAGGTATTCTCAGAGACTTAAAGGAAGTATGAACATTATAAGGAAAAAGAGATAAGGTATAAAAATATCCAAAAAGAAAATCTAGAGATGGAAAACAGAATATCCAAAATGAAAATAACAGATTAGATACTACAAAAAAAAAAATAAATGAGCTGAAAGGTATTATTAGAAACTATCCAAAATAAGTATGGAGGTCAAAAGTTGAGTGGGATAGACCCAAATTGGATTAGCTGCATGGTTCACATGAATGTTAAGATTACAAAAGACTGTAAAAGAAATGAATTTGTCACACACTAATTGATTTGTCATATAACATCAAGTGATTTGATGTTTGTATAATTAGAGTTCTAGGCAGAAAAGGGACAGCAAATAAAAACATTTGAAGCATATAAAAATATCTGGTGTCGCAAGGGGTTAAAGTACAGTGCTGTGAGGCTATCCTAAGCCACTGTGGCATGAGTTAGATTCTCAGCCAGGGAAGTGACCCATATGGCAAGGCAGGTCTCTCCTGACAGATGCTCCCCTCAGCAGTGTATGTCAGTCAATCTTCCTGTTCTGTTCCCCACTCTGTCTCTGGTGAAGACTCTCACCCCCTACATATCTGGCCTGTACCCCAGTTATTGTATACATAGATGAATAAATCTTAAAAAAAAAATTTGGGGGGGCCCTTCCTGGTGGCGCAGCGGGTTGAAGCACAGCACTAAGAAGCTTGGGCCACTTCCGCATGAGTTCGATCCCCGCCTGCCCCGGAGGAGATCCACATGGCGTGGCAGACCTCTC